ATGGTTGATTGTCTCATGGAGGAATGGAGCTGGGTTCTCGCAAGATCATCACTTTCTTGCGAACAGCAGCTTCAGGTTTAGTTTGGAAGACATCGAATCTGCAACACAATGCTTCTCGGAATCGAATCTAATGAGCAGAAGCAGCTTCTCATCAGTGTTCAAAGGAAACCTCCGTGACGGTTCTCTTGTTGCCATAAAGAGAATCAACATAACCAGTTGCAAGAACGAGGAAGCCGAATTCTTGAAGGGTCTGAATCTTTTGATCTCGCTTTCGCACGAAAACCTCGTCAAGCTTCGAGGGTTTTGCTGCTCCAGAGGCAGAGGCGAATGCTTCCTCGTCTATGATTTCGCCCACAAAGGAAAGCTCTCGGATTTTCTCGAAATACAAGATTATGGGAGCGGTCAAGTCCTTGATTGGCCTACCAGGATCTGCATCATCAAAGGGATAGCCAAAGGTTAGTCCTTTTTCACATTCTAGACAAATTCCTCAATCTGAAAATCATCTCTGAAACAAAGAATTTCTGCAAATATTCCTTACAGGGATCGCGTTTCTGCACGGGAATGAACCGAACAAGCCTGCAATAGTTCATCGCAACATCTCAGTGGAGAAAATCCTACTCGACGAGAATTTCAACCCGTTAATGGCGGATTCGGGTCTCCACTATCTCTTGGCCGACGACTTTGTCTTCTCGGCTCTCAAAACAAGCGCTGCAATGGGATACTTAGCTCCTGAATATATCACCGGCGGACGTTTCACTGAGAAAACCGATATTTTCGCCTTCGGAGTCATCATTCTGCAAATACTCTCCGGCAAACTAATGCTTACGAACTCGATGAGGGCCGCAGCTGAAAACGGAGAAAATCACAAAGGATTCATCGACGAAAACCTTCAGGGAGAGTTTGATGAGTTGCAGGCGAGAGAGATGGCGAAGATCGGGATAAGCTGTACACAGGAGATTCCGAACAATAGGCCGAACATAGAGACTGTTCTTCAGGAGATAAACTATACGATCGGCATGTAAAAAAAAAAAAAAGAAAGACCATCTTGTTCATCTGGGTCTGTAACCAGTGGTCTGGAGAAAGGTGAAAGCTTGCAAAGAGGAAGAGAGCCGGTCTGTGATTTTCCGGTTAAGATGTGGCAGAACCGGTCGGTTTGTTTGGATTGAGTTGAATAAATTTTCGGTTTCGATTTGCCGGTTTAGGGTTCGGTTTTCTGATAACGTTCACAAAGCAAAAGAAAAGAGTATAATTCCTCTGCTTCATGCAAATGGTGTAGAGGAAAATAGTATTTCCTTGTAAAATAAGATTTTCAAAGAGTTCTAGAATGTTTAAATAGAAATTAAGAAAATCCAAGAGGAATTTCGAAGAAAGCTGATCATAAAACTCATTCAAAGTTTGAAAAAATCCATGGGTCGGGTCGACCCATTGAGGCAACGCTTCAAAAGCGCGTCTTTTTCTGAATTCCACTTCCAACGTTGGCTTCGTCATCAAGTAACCCTAGATTCTCTGTTCCACGAATCGACCATTTCGGAGCGCACGAATTCTCTTCCTCTTCGACATACTTCGCAGATCTGTCTTGTTCGGCGTTTTGGAGAGAATCTCTGTTCGTCTTACGATTAGGTTTTTCTGTGTGTCTCATCTCTTGGAACCCATGTCTTTTTCCGACATCGGATCGTTCTCTAATGGTGGAGACCAGAAGAATTTCAGGCAAATCACTCATGGAAGTGAGTTCCTTCATTTTCTTTTTTCACTTACCAACTCCGCGTGTGAACATTCAGGGAGGAAAAAGCTTTTAACTTTTACGATCTAGCTGCTCATACACGATCCGGTTCTTGTTCTGGGATCATTTGTTTTCGAATTACTTGTTCATTTTCGGAGTATAATTGATAAAAGCAGAGGCTTATAGTATTTGAATCCCTGTAAATTGGGTTAATATGAGAAAATACGCTTCTGGGGGATTTATGAGTTTCGATTTTCTGACGATGATGTTTAGATTTTTGACGATATCACTTAGTTCGAATCCAATAAGCTAAAGTGATCATAAAGAATCATCTGTTTTACGAGCTGATGAGTTTCTTATAGCTGAGGATTCCGTTTTTGCTTGTAATTCAAGAATATGGATCTCATTCTAAGTAGCTATGAATGATTTTTCATTTTGGATTTTAGGACTGCTGCATGAAATGCTTAGGCCTGAGAAAGCCGGTAGCTCGAAATCATCTTGGAAGGTATGTATATACACACATATATATGTGTGTTCCCTTTCTTTATGTTATGGTTGTTTAATGTTTATATCGGCTTCTATTGATTTGTGGATTCTGCTTATGTATATTAGGTGCTTGTCATGGACAAGCTCACAGTCAAGATAATATCATCTGTCTGCAGAATGTCTGAGATCACACAAGAAGGTGTTACATGTAAGATTCAGGGCACAAAAAAGAAGTTTCAGATGACTTCGAAATTGTCTTGTTCAAGGCTCACTGCTAGATTCTTAATTGCTGTTTATATATTCATACACGGTTTCTGTGGTAAGGATTTGATGTTTAGTTAGATTATTCCAGTGGTAGAGGACATTTCTCGGCACAGGCAGCCAATGACTTCCTGGGAAGCCATCTACTTTATTCAGCCAACTGAGGAGAAGTAATGTCTCGCGTTGTGATCTTTCGTTTGAATTTTTTTGTAATGGGCATGCTTTTAATAACTCTGTCCAACTTTTTTTTTTGGCAGTGTGGCCATGTTTTTGTCAGATATGACCGGGAAATCACCTCTATACAAGAAGTAAGTGAATAGATAGTATGTATAAGACGGCTGGCTTGTCGGAAATTCTGAATCCTTTAATCTGTTGTGGTTTAGGGCTTTTGTGTTCTTTAGTTCACCTGTTTCAAGGAGTCTGGTTGCTGTCATTAAGAAGGATATCAGAGTGATGAAACGCATTGGGGCACTGAAAGAGGTTTTCTTGCCAATTTCCTTTTTTTTGTTTCTTGAACTGCATTCAATTTTTCACTTGATAGTTTAAGTAATATTTCATATTATATTGGATTACCACAAGAGATTTTGAACTTTTTTTGGTAATTTGGCTCATTATATGCAGATGAATTTGGAATACATCACGGTGGACAGCCAGGTATATATCTTTACATTACAAGGCTGATTAATTTTCCTCTGTTCCTCAATACGTGCATTGTTTGATCGATACGATATCTGAAAAATGAGTTATATGACGAGTTTTCCATGGCAGTGGTGGTTTACATAATCAAATTCAGATGTCCTCTTAGCTGTTTTATAAGACTTCTTATGGAACAATGGATGGACCGTCCATGTGGTTTTATGATCTTAGGAGATAGAAGCTCTGAATTGGATTGCATAACCTTTCTCTTTAAATATTCTGAATGATTATGTTTCATTTCGATACTATTGCCTCGGTATTTAAAATCCCTTTATCCGCTTCCTCCTCCCATATGATGTCTTCACAGGGGTTTGTAACGGATTATGAAAATGCCCTCGAAGAACTTTTCTGTGACGAGGAAAATCCGCCATCTGATGCATGCTTGAATCTGACAGGTATCCGCATTGCTACAGCTTTGGCGTCGCTAAAGGTAATAGTCATGAATTCTTACTACGAGCTAATTTATCTCTTTTCTTTTACAAAGTTCTCGAGAAAATTGTATTACTCGGAACATTTTTTTGGTGTATAGGAATACCCCTTTGTACGATACCGTGCAGCCAAAGCCCATGATGCCACAAAAATGACGACTTTTCGGGAGTTGATTCCTACAAAGCTTGCTGCTATTGTGTGGAACTGTCTTGCGAGATACAGACGGGCGATCGAGGGTTTTCCTCAGACCGAAACATGTGAGCTGCTTATCCTAGACCGATCCATAGATCAGGTTCGTAACCTTAACTGAGAAATTTAGTTTTTTTCCTCGTTGATATGATTTTGATTTAGTTTGCTAAGAAGAGATAAAGGAAGACTTTTCTGCTTCTAGATCGCACCTTTCATTCACGAGTGGACATATGATGCAATGTGCCATGATTTGATTGAAATGGAAGGGAAAAAATACACACACGAGGTGACTTTTTTTGGTTTCTAGATACTCGAAAAGTCGGTAATATCTTCATCAAAATTTACTGGGTATGGTAATTTTTTCTGCTTTCTTATTAGTGTATAGGTTCCGAGTAAAACTGGTGATCATCTTGAGAAGAAAGAGGTTCTCCTGGATGAAGATGATCCTATTTGGATGGAGCTTCGAGATGTTCATATAGCAGATGTATCCTATTCTGTTTTCATTCAATCCCTTCCTTTTTCAAACTTCACCATATATGGATGCGGTCTGAATCTTTGGTTCCGTGTTCAGGCCAGCGAAAGATTGCACGAGAAAATGACAACCTTTGTGTCAAAGAACAAAGCTGCACAGATGAAACACAGCTCAAGGTTAGTTTTTTCTTTACCGGATTTGCCTTTTTTTGTTATTGTTTCAATTTATTTACAAGAAAACAATTCTGAATATGACTGCTTTCGATGTTCAGAGAGTTTGGCGATCTTTCATCAAACGACTTGAGGAAGATGGTTCAAGCCTTGCCTCAATACAGTGAGCAAATCGACAAGCTTTCTCTTCATGTAGAGGTCGGTTTTGGATAAAAGTAGAGCACGAAATAGAATTTTCGGTGAAATTTTTTTCACAGAAATCAGGGTATTGAATCATCATTTGAAAACCGAAATATTAATACGTTGAAGTGTGGTTAATTATATCACTGCAGATTGCTGGAAGAATCAACAGAACTATCATGGAATATGGCCTTAGAGAACTCGGTCAGCTCGAACAGGATCTTGTCTTTGGGGACGCGGGAAGAAAGGATGTTATCAAGTTCTTGAACTCGAGAAAGGTGAGATGCTTTGCAATTGATCGGTTTAATTGGAATTATATTTTTTTAATTTAAATTAAAATTTGCAGGAAATAAGCCGCGAGACCAAGCTAAGACTACTGATGATTCTTGCAGCAATTTACCCCGAAAAGTTCAAAGGTGAAAAGGGTCGAAAGATGATGGAGGTATATTACGATATTCCTCCTACGAAAGAATCTCGATCTCTGGTTATTGATTTCAGTTTACATAACCGTTGAGTTTTTCGTCTTCTTGATTGAATCCATTCAGCTAGCAAATATGTCTAGTGATGATACAGAGGCTGTGAACAATATGAGATTACTCGGACCAGTGTCTGCAGAAACCAAGAAGATCTCATCGGGATCTTTCTCCCTTAAGTTTGATGTTCTTAAGGTAGAACTATTCTTCCCCGTTTCGTTTTCCATCGGGACAAAGACTTTCCCGAGAAACCTAACTGGAGCTTCTTTTTCTGTACGGCTCAGAAGAGACGAGCTGCAAGAAAAGACAGGAATGGCGAAACTCAAATGTGGCAGCTATCGCGTTTTTACCCGATCATCGAGGTCTTATTACCATTCATACCCGATTTTTTCTCGGTATGCGTTATGTATAATATCTTCAATAAGAAACCCGAAAGTAAAAATATTTTCAGGAACTTGTTGAGAAACTTAGCAAAGGGGCATTGTCGAAACACGAATACCAGTGTATGAACGAGCCAAAACCGAGCATCATCTCTCACGGTGGATCTCAATCTGCATCAGCGAGTCCGATCTTGCCTCATTCAAGGCGAACACCAACGTGGGCCACACGACGTCTTTCCGACGATGGGTACACCAGGTAACTTTATATATACAAAACAAATACGAATAACGTGATGGAATACTCATTTAACAATCCATACCATTTTTTTGTGTTCAGTGACTCGGTTCTAGGACGTACATCGAGCAGCTTCAATAAAAGGACGGGGCCACGAATTTTCGTGTTCATTGTAGGAGGAGCCACCCGATCCGAGGTTATACTCCAAGCTCTCTTTTTTCCCCTCGTAACTCGGGTTTTCGAGAGATGTTTTTGGGTTATCATAACGGAAAGAAAACCGATAGATGAAGATAAATTGAATTCCGATGAAATTGATTTGTGTGTGTACATGAATTGCAGCTGAGGGTCTGCCATAAACTTTCAGAGAAGCTAAACAGAGAAGTGATCTTAGGCTCCACCAGCATCGACGATCCAAAGACATTCATCACGGTACTATATAGTATATGGTTTTTGCAATTACATTTTGTTATACCCCCCCCCCCCAAAAAAAAAAATGTTTTGGTTAGAGATGGTAAAAAAATATATGGCGACGTGACTGACATGACTGTTCTCGTAATTGTGCAGAAGATGAAACGGTTGGACAAAGACAAGGAGCTGTCACTGGACGATCTCGACATATAAAACCTGTATGTATATATATAGTTTATGCATCTCACCAATTTTCTTTAGGAAATAAATAATAATGATAATAATGGATGAATTATAAGATAACATCCAATGTAGATTAAGTTATTTGTTCGTTGGCTAAATAAAGTTATGATTCCAAGATTTTGAGGAATGAGCCCCAGTTTCTATAATATGGTGGAAAGGTGGGCGGTCAAATGTGAATAAAAACAAAAATTGAGGGGTAAAAGGTAAAAAAATTAAAAATACGCCCACCGTGGGGCTCGAACCCACGACCACAAGGTTAAGAGCCTTGCGCTCTACCAACTGAGCTAGACGGGCTTTCGATGATTAGTAGAAATTTTAATTACTGGTTTTTAAAATTTCTTTTGGTTACCGGTTTAGGGAGAACCGATTAGACCAGAGATGACGATGTTGATGCAGTGGTCAAGGAAGATTGAATTCAGGGAACACATGACGATTCGACTAAGATTGCTTCCCGACACAAAAACCGAACTGAAATAAAATCCCTAAAGCCTAAAAAGATCAGCTTACCATTAACCCTAATCTGGACATCAGGAAAACAAATTCGATACGACAGAGGGAAGAACACCAAAACGTCATGCAGATCAAGCTAAAGAGACGTTAATGTCAGGAGGAGGGATTGTTTCTTGGATCAGAAGGTAATGATGGCGGCGGCGGCCAAGTGTTGGCCTTGTCACCCGAGAGTCGGACACACTGGATATCGGGATAGCTGCCGTCGGGGTCGGGACCGACATGTAATCGTGCTTGTGCTTCTTCGGTTTCTGATCTTGCTGGTCGATTCCCGCTAGGAAACTCCCTACAACGACCTGGAAGAACGATACCATGGATCGAGATCAGAGTGAATTTACATAAACTCGATATATCGTAATTTTCGAAGCGAAAAAGCTCTGTTTGCTACTGAGAAACGAAGAGAAAGTTCGAGAAAAAATTGGACTAAAGATAAACAGAGCAACAGAGACTTGCATCAATGTGTGTGTGTTTGTGTTGTACTAGCTTTCTGGTACTAACAGAGTTAACTAACTTACCTACCACAGATATAACTCGGCCAACTCAATGACAGGGTAAGTTGAATGCATACCTGAACAGGGCTAGCGGCGACCAGTAGACCCGCAACGCCGCCTCCTACCACTCGTCCATCGGGGCTAGCCAACGATACGCTCATTCCTCCGGTTCTGCCTCGAGTCCCTCCGATATCGTTAGGCATGAACGATCCAGACAACGATAGTATCTCAAACCGACCCTGAAAAACCCGATTATTCACCAAAACAATCAAATGATCGCAAAACGAAAAAAAGATTAGTTTTATTGTCTAGTATCATTTCGTAACGAGAATGAATCACCTCGTACGTCAATGTACCGCCGGAGGAATCGGGCTGGCGAAGCGTGACGCTGGAAACGACGCCGTTTGCTGATAGGATGCAAATAGCGCGAGGCCCTTGTTGCGAAAACGATATTATCTTCATCGTCACGTCCTAATCCAAAGCCGAAATGAATTCAAACACCAGTTCATCAAACTCGAATAATACCATTCAATAAAATATATATATGTATGTATGTATATATAGTTTAGGGTTTAGATCGATTCTATTTACCTCGCCGGCGTTCACTGTAATGATATGTGGCGTGAAACTGGCTCCCACCGAGCAAGCCACCCATTCACCTTCACACCAGAGCAAATTCAGCATCATGCATAACCAATACCGGTTATGAATAAACCGGTTCTAAACCGGGGAAATGGTCGGTTCCATATACTATACAAGGAATGTAAAATTTAAGCAAATAAAAGGGGGAATATTCATACGGAGTTGGACACAATACAAACACATTCACGTACGTTTATGTACATAACTGTATATGTACACGTATACGAAAGAGATGTGTACACGCGAGAGGCCCCACATCTACAAGTCCCAAGGAAAAAAACCCCTAAAAAACTCAAAATCAGCAAGAATCAGATCTATCTACGAAACAGAATTCAGACAACATCTTTCTTCTTTTTCCATTTTATTTCTCTTTAGAACAAGAAACAAGACAGGGATTTACCTAAATTCTCGACCTGGTACTTTGTCCTGCTG